CCTTTCAGCCATACAAATGAGCCATTAGCGTTGATCAGAAACAAAACAAAAATACAGCAGTCGGGATTATAATAGTTCGCAAGAGATATTGTATACTGATTGTGTCGAATAAACATTTATAGAGGCACTTAGCAACTGCTTAAGTGCTTTGAATATAAAGTATATACTTCGTATTAAAAGCATTTCAGCACTCAAGGCATACGAGAGTTGAAATTTTGCAAAGTCTAAATGTTTTATTAGAGTAGAAGGATTTGCGATGGCGTGACAAGAACTACAAGCTATTTTGAGAGGATATTCTAATTATATATGATAAACTTTAAATTTTGATAGACATTTAAGAAATTAAGTTATCAATAATTCTTCATTAGTACTAAAGCTATGCTTAACAAATATAATGTTGCGATCTATTTGCTAGCCCATTCATTGAATTTATCGAATTCATAATAATCAATATCATAATATATTTTTCCTAATGAATAATTTTAGTAATAACTATCAAGTTTTATTTTTCATGCTACCAATAGTTAGAAAAAGGTTTGAGATCTGATATCCGTTTTCCTTAAATTCGGCTGTCTAGCCTTTTGTAAGCTAGCGATTGATATGTCCTAACAAATCAAGGTTTTTCCGGCGAATGAAAAAGCGTAAGTAGTCACATTGCATTGCATTTCCTTCAGATTGCTCTCGTTTTTCATTCTTTGCATTACCTACAGTGAAATGGCGCGTTCCAGTTTAAGCTTTTACATCAACGTACTTTAAAGTACTAAAAGACGAAAGACTTTATGATAAATATTAGGTACAAAATCTTAAAATAAAATGATAAAAGAAAATATATAGTTTTGATAAAAACTTCTGTGAAAAAAAACGATCTTTTGTTACAAAATTTATTTTATTCCAAGATGCATAAGTTTAATAAAAAACTTGTGAGGAAAATCTAACTCTAAATCTTATTTTTTGAAATGCAGCATGAAATAATATTATGAATAATATTAACAATAATTGTTCATATATTTCTGAAAAATGATTTTGTTCTTATATTTCTACGCAATGATACATAAAATTTACTAAATTCTACATTTAACGTTGAAGTTAATATATAATTAAAATGCATAGTTAATTAAAATCCATTAACAAAATTACTATTTTCTATGATTTTATGTACTCCATATAGTGTATATAATACACAAAATCGCATTCTAGAATAATCGGAAATACCATAAACTTTGGCGTACTAACGAAAAATATCGAAATCTTTAGGGGGATATTTTCACGGTCAAAATTCGGATTTTTTTGAAAAGAAAAAACAGCATGAAATATTTAAAATCATAAAGTGGTTTACTATTTTAGAAGAATCTATTTATATAAATAATTAAAATGTAACTAATTATTTAAATTTTCCAAATATAGTGTGTAATTTGGGAGGGTATTTTCACAGTCAAAATTTTGACTTTTTTTTAAAAAAAAACAGCATAGTTCAATAAAAAAAAATTTAAATCATAAAGTGGTATACTTTAGATTCAACTGATCAACCTTAAAATCAACCGATTCGGATGATTCAAAGAATATTCGATGTCTATTGGTAGGTAGATGTGCCAATTAGTTTTTGGTAAAGGTAATTCCAGTCGTTTCGGAAGTACGGAGACAAAAGTTCAGAAAATAGAAATCAAATTTTTAAGAAAACCTAGCATCTGATTCGAATGATCTAACAAACATTCAATTCCCAATGATGGGGAGACGTGGTGATTAGTTTTGAACAAAGGCAAGTCTAGCCGTTTTGGAGATACGGAGCTAAGTATGCAAAAAAATGGCAGTTTTTGATAGAACTAAGAATCCGATTTGAATGATTCCAAAAAATTTGCTTGTGTTGACAAAACGATTGTTTTTGGGAGAAGAAAAAAAATCTTTTATTTCATTATTTTTAAATTATTTTTGTTTAAATATCAAAAATCATTCGGATTCTCAATATTGTGATTCGATACGAGAAGTTCCAGCAATTTGCTTCAAGGCACTATGCCATACACCACTAGTTTTAGATTGCATCATATATTATTTTCATGTAATAATAATAAATTATAAAACATTACACTTGGTGAACATAATGAGATATAATTCTAATTTTGATACCTTAGAATGATGTGGAAGCTTGAATCATCATAATGACAAATAAATGCTCTAAAAGTTGAACATATTTATCAACGCGTTGTTGATTATTTTTGCAATCAAAAATAACTTTTGGAAAAAATTCGGAAGATTTTATAATTTTCATTTCTAAATAGATTCAATTTGAATTTGCATTGAAATACAACCTTAGCGACGAGAAGTACTGCTGAAATACTTTTCTTTTCATTATATAACCATCATTGCGTCTGCATTCGTACATCAAAATCCAACATCAACAAAGTTGCGTACAACGAGTAATCGTATAAGATTGCTCCATTAATGGGTTCGCCTCACAGCTACTGGAGGCGACCCATTCCCTTACCCAAAGCTCCTGGTTCTATTCTCTATCCAGCATTTGGCGAGCGTCGCCCCATTCCTCGATCTTGTGTTCTTAAAGCACATCTAATCCAGACAACCTTTCATCGGAAGCAATCAAGAAACGTCTTAAGGGCCAATTGAACCATCGTCTGCCGTTAATCGATCTACCAGATCCCCACTGTAGTTAAGTAGAAATACTAGATCTGTAATGAGTTTAGTTAATTCAAAATAGGGAATGTTATAGTAGTTTTATCAATTAAGCTCAAATTAAGCTTCTAAATCTATTAATCAGTATTTACTTATTATCAACTTTAATACATTTTATTTATGTTTTATAGTTCTTTTATAAATGCCTGCCTTTTTAACTTCCCGTAGGGCAAGTTATAGTAATCGCAAAAAATCAAAAATTAAAATTTTTATTTATCTTTACGTTTCAAAGGTTTTTGAACATTTTGGCATACTTTAGAAAAAATTGATGTATGTGTGTATGTATGTGCGGATACAAATTTCCGTCGATGAGTTCGAGAACGCCGATCAACCGATTTGAATAATTCAAAACACATTCGATTTTTATTGATAAGGAGATGTGCTGATTAGTTTTTCGCGAAGGCAGGTCTAGCCGTTCCGAAGATACGGGGCAAAAAGTCCAAAAAACGGTAACTCAGTTTTTAAAAGAACGGAGCGTCCGATTTTTATTAATTCAAAAAAAAAATACTTGTATTGACAAGATGAACGATTGATTAAATTTTTGAAAAGGCAGGTCTAGTGGTTATGGACTCTCAATAAAAATTTGTTAAAAAATTGTCATTTGGCGGTACAAAATGTTTATTGGATATAGGTACATCAAATTATCAGATATTTTATAGAAATTTTAACAATCTGTACACATTTTGTCTAATTTTTTTTGGGTTCTGTACCAAGATTTTTACCTACGTTACGGAAAGTTCCAGATTTTTGCTTTAAGGCACGAATGTAATCATCAATGTTATGCTAGTTAGATGATATTCTACATTTGATACTTTTTGTTTGTAGAGGTCATTGAGAAAAAATATACTATTTTTTACTCAGTTTTCTATTACAGAGAATATGAGTTTTCCTATATTAATTTAACGATGCTCAAAACTATGCGTTTAAAATTACAGCAAATTTTATATTACATTTATTTCTTTTATTGTAACTTCCTTTGCTAATTTATTGTATTTTGCCGGTCAGAGAATCGGGGTTAATTACCCCAAATAGAGAAAAATTTAAATTTTTTGGAGGTAAAAAGTATCTTTTTTAATTGTTATTTACTGTATTTGCTTCAAAGTTGCCCATATGGAGGGTAATCTGTTTTCGCGATGGGAGTAATATCAACTTAAATGAAAAAAAGAAAAATTGGGGTAATGATTAAAAACGTTCCTCGACCCCTCATTTAAAATGTAAGTCTTAAAACAAAATTAAACAAATTACATGTAACAAATTTACCAGATAATAGATACTGTCATTCATATAACCATACAAAATTAGACGTCGAGTTTGTTCAAATAAATTAAAAATAATAATTATATAATGTCTTTATTCATTGAAAAATATTTTTTTATGGAATTTAAAAGAGTCAAACAATTTTGCTAATATATTATTGCCTAATTATATTACTTTTTTTATTAATTAGTTATATAAATAAGTAACAAAAATCTTTATCTGAATATTTGTGTTCGTGATATTTTTAGAGTATTATTCCTTAGTCATATATATTTGAAAGAAAATGTATTAATAGCTTTACGTGAAAACTATTTCAATTCAGAATTGTTGAGCTAATAGCCTTAATGGCATTTTGTTTAATTTATTAGCACTGTAAATGCTTTCAAATGTATCTTACTAATGCATTGATTCAATCTATTATAAGCGAAACCGTACACTATACTCTTTGAAAACGCGAAGGAATAATCTTATTCGCTGAGATAATCGATTTATATATATATATATATATATATATATATATATATATATATAATCAATAAAAAATATTACCAATTTATCAATAAAAAAAAGGTCAATATTATTATTAAATTGACTATGTGTGCTTCGACACTCAGTTCTATATCATCATTCAAAAATTCAAGTGAATATTAATTACAAAAAAAGATAAATGAAGATAAAGAGATAAGTTTATTAACACAGAACATTTAAATAATTGTAGTGTGATTAGAATTGAATTTAAATCAGTGCATTTGAAGTAGATATATTAAATTGATATATTAGATTAAAAATGAAATGTATTATATAAGCAATATAATAAAAATAAAATACATTATTATATAAGTACTAGAACCAATTAAAACTAATTAAATTAAAATTTAATTGCTCTTAAGTAGCACCTACTTTCTCCGGGATCAATATTTTAACTTTACAAAACTTTGATTAATTTCAAGAGAAAAAATTATAAAAATGAATGCAAACAACAAAATTGCAAATTTACCTGTTTTGTATAATTGCACCTTGGTACTTACATACAACTGTCGGTTGTATTTCGAAGGACATCAGCTGCGGTGTCCGAGTGGTTAAGGAGATGGACTTTGAAATCCATTGGGCCCTGCCCGCGCAGGTTCGAATCCTGTCCGCAGCGTTTACTTTTTAATAAAAATTATGTTTTATTATAATTTATAATCTACATTATCGTGTTAATTAATATTATGAAAAAATATTTATTTTCAAATGGCACATACGCTATTTAATCCGACTTTCCCAACCCGTCTGCACAGAGGCAGGACATGAATCACTCTTTCGTATATAATTTCTGAATACTAGTTAGTTCTCATTTTATGTTAGTTGATATTTACAACAATGATACAAAATATGGTGAACAAAAATACTCTTAAGTTCTGTCCAGTTCATTTATTGGTCCGAAAAAAGAGTGAAGTCGAAAACAGAGGACTGTGTTCCTTGTTCCCAGTTAAGCCTCTATTATACGAAATTTGATAAGTTGCTTTCAGAATTACAAATTTTAATTGACTTTTATCAATTGAATTTTCTATCATAACTTCCCTTATGAGAAGTTTATGTTTTCATAAAAAATCCGATTAACTAATTTTATGTTTTCTCAACGTTTCATGCCATTCTGAATCGAATGAGACCAAATTTGGAAAAAAGTATGCGTGTGCTGTGTGAAAAGATTTTTTACTACAAGTCGACGTATGCGTAAAAACGGCTGGACCGATTACAAGAATTTAAATGCCATTTGATTTCTATGGAACTTTTATTGGTGATATAAAAAATGGTCTTCTAGAACTTACTGAAATATTATGGCTTTACGACAATTAATTTAATTTTAAAAATTCATCAAAGTTTGAGAAAATAAGTATTAAGTTGAAATTATAATTAGACGATTTACTTGGTATAACGATTAGAGTACTTGGTCTTAATGAGCATACTAAACCATTAAAGCCCTACGGAAGCTGGTTCAATTATAAAAATGGTTGATTTTTGAAAATTTGCTTTTAGAAAATACTCCGAGTTAAAGTGTTTGTTCGTTTTCAATTATGTGTAATAAATCCACTCGGAATACTTTTAATCACTCATAAATTAATTTAATTTTTTATTGATTAAGTCGATTATTTACACATATCGGGAAGTTCATGTAACTTGCCCCAAGGCAAAATACTAATACCAATTAGTTGAAGCTAATATTGTACCCAAAACAGAATTTACTGACAATCATTCATACTTTTACCGTTTGTTACCAGTGCTGCGGTGTCCGAGTGGTTAAGGAGATGGACTTGAAATCCATTGGGCCCTGCCCGCGCAGGTTCGAATCCTGTCCGCAGCGATTACATTTTACTTAAAAATAAAAAAAATCATGATTTTGCTGTATAAACCTTAAAAAATTAAAATTATTAAGTATTTCAGAATTAAAATTTACAATATTTAAGAAAAAACATAGAGTTACAAACATAGTCTCTGATAACTTGATCGTGTTCAAATTATTTTGATGTCTTCATAAATATGAGTTTTAAACAAGTCTATTACTGTTTTTTCTGACAGCAGACATATTATTTAAAATAAGATATCTGAAGAAAATAGACTTTAAACTTTTATTAAAAGATATAAATTGAAAAAAAAAAACAGTAATAATTGATAAAACTGTTTTATTTTTTTTAAATACATTAATAAATTAATTGGTATGGATAGTAAATTGTATTAAAGATCAGCAATACAAAGAAGTTCATGTTTTCATTACTTGACCGCCTACACATACCAGACTTTTCTAAGAACGATTTAAATTGTACATTTCCTCCGACATCATAAACACATCATTCTCCAACGAAATATATATTGCTTCATTAAAAGATTAAAAGCAAAGCACGGGCATCTTTCTCGCAATCTTCGGAAGAACATACATAGTTGTCGATTATATAACACATGCATTTCTTAGCAAAAGGATATTGATTATATTCGTATCAAAGAATACATTATTTATATGGTGCACATTTTATATCAAACCCGGCACATTCGCTGGCGAGCGTTTTCTTAGAGTAAAGGATGCATTCACGTTGCCAATATGTAATATATTTATATGTTTATTCAATATCAAAATTTACTTATTGATTAATATATATATACACACATATATATATATATATATATATATATATATATATATGTAATGTAATTAATAATACATAATGCAATTAATATTTTCAAAAGTTATTGAAAGCCAGATTGATCAATAACTAAAACTTTTCAATTACAATTCAACTTGCATTTTGCATTCTGAATAAACAAATATACTATGGACCACATCGGCTCATTTATATTTATTATTGTTTATTCAAATTTTTGTATTTCATTAATTATTTATATATCTTTTGCATATCTATTAGCTAGCATCAAAGCAATATTCAATACATATTATTTTATTGCATTTACATGATTAAGGTCTGAATACTAACCACAGCTATATTAAATATATTATGATCAGATAAATAGCATGATAATTCATTCAGAGTAAATTATTAAAGTATATTCATTCAGAGTAAATTATTAAAGTATATAAACCAACTTATTGCTTTTTGAAAATTGTTTTTATAGCTTTTGTAAATTGCAAAAATATATAAATTTCGAAGTATGATAGTATTTATGTGCAAACATACTGTTTGATAAGATATATTTGAATTATTTAAAACTGGTTATTTTGAGGTAGTAGACATTTCATATCCAATCTTATTAGAATGAGTACTCAACAATATTTTTCTAGAAACGTGCAAAACTTAATCTATAATACAAAAATGAATCGCAAAATGTATTGGTAAGCGCATAACTCAACAACCCCTGGACCAATTTGGTCATTTTTTCTTTGAAAAGTTTGTAGAAGTCCAAGGATTGTTCTTACGGCGAGAAAAAATCGAAGAATTGCCGGGAAAACCCTAAAAACAGCCCTCTTCCTTTTCACATATAAACGTTAGTATTTTCATATTTTTGCCATCGGATACGGAATATTTACTCAAACGATGGAATGTTTTGGGTCTGAATTTTTTTTACTGTGCTCCAATTTGTATGAAATTTTGAAATTAGGTTTATCTTACTCTCAAGTTCAAAAGTGAAAACAATTCAGACTCCTTTGGTGTATAATAATATACTAATTATAAAAAATAGACTAATTATAAAAAAACAGTTTTATAACGTTTTTCAAAAAAGCAAATGCTTATCATTTTATTTAAAGCAAAGTATATACATTTCGGTATAGACTGTAGTGTAAAAAAACAATAATTTTTAACTAATCGGTAAATATCAGTATAGGTTATTAAAAAAAATTGGAACTTTTGAATTGTAAACATAAGTACAGGACAACGTCTGTCGGGTCATCTAGTTGAAATCATAAAAGTTGTTGAAATAATTTAAAATTATTTAAACTATATAAAAAGAACTAGCTGGTTTCTGAAGCATTCTGCTGATTCTCTGTTACTTCTGGATTGTGAAATTACTGAAATTAATATTTGCGAATACTACATTTGCTTGTGATCTATGTATTATAATTGATACAAATAAATATTTTTTCATTTTATTAAATTATACAATTTTTTTTTCAATTTATCCGAAAATCGCGTGCGCCAAGTGCTCAGTCATGCCAGCGCTCACATTCGCTTCCCAACTCAACACACGCGAAACACTTTTGAAATCGCATTTTAAAAACATTCCAGATTTTTAGAGAGCTTTCTGCAATGCATTACGTTGATATATGTTCAATATAAGTCGCTTGCTTTATTGAATTTTATTAGAAGGATGCCAAGCACTACAGTATAAATAGAATCTGATATATTACAAGAGTAGCGATCTATATACACATGCTAGAGAGCTTTAGAGTACCAATTCATTTGAAGTCTTTTGCCAGAGGAAGAGTTTGTTGAATTTCCACCCGTATGCCGCCGTAAGTACAAGCCCGAGAATTAAATGTGCAAATGGCGAATAGAATGAGACATGCCATGTCGAATTTCCTACATTGTCTTTGCTCAAAGTGCATTCATTGATTTCATATGCATCGATGGATTATTGATACTGACACAAATACAAGAACAATTTTCTTAAAATTTATATATTGCAAGATCTGATTGATGAAAACATAGTAGTTATTAACTTTCCGTAGGGTGAGTTATAGTAATGAACCAAATATCGAAAATGAAAATTTTTGCATATCTTCACGATTCAGCGGTTTCTGAACATTTTGGCATTTCAGAGAAAAAATTGATGTGCGTGTGTATATGTGTGGAGACATTTTTAACTTCCCACAGGGTAAGTTATTGTAATGGGCCGAAAATCGAAATTGAAAATTTTTACATTTCTCGACGTTTTGAAGGTTTCTGAACATTTTGGCATACTTCAGAAAAAATGGATGTGTGTGTGTATGCGTGTATGGACACAAATTTCCAGTCACGTTTTCGGGCGCACAAATCAACCAATTTGAATGGTTCAAAAACATTCGATTTCTATTGATAGGGAGATGAGCTGACTAGTTTTTTGCAAATGCAGGTCCAGCAGCTTCGGAGATAAAGAGCAAAGAGTGCAGAAAATAGAAATCGAGTTTTTGAAAGAATGGAGCATCCGATTTGAATGATCTAAAAACCATTCAATTAGTAATGATGGGAAGAAGTGTTTATTAGTTTTTAGCAAAGGCAGGCCCAACCGTTACGTAGATACGAAGCAAAGAGTGCAGAAAATAGAAGCCAAGAGAATTAATTTTTACATTTATAAAATGTTAGTTACACGTGAACAATCAATTCATTTCTTTGATTTTTTTTTCAATGAAGTTGTTCTTCTTTTATTACTATTATTTTTCGATACTGATTTGCAGTCAAGAAATTCGATATCAATCATAAATGAGATTTTCTGAGCATATTCTCTGAGAGGAATACTCTGACTTTTATCAACCCACTTCCTATTTTTCATCTATAGGGTTTTGATTTAAGGTGATCCTCGAACGGATAAATATGATTTCTTCAGTGCTATTTTTCGATATCCATAAATAATTTAAAAATATATAAATCGGATGCTACTCCGTGAGTTTTGAAATAGTTTCCAGCAGCATTTCGCCATTACTATAAACAACTTCAAAAAGCTCACACGAATATTTCC